TTCGCTGCTCCCACAGCTCCATTTCTGCAGCCAAAACGGCACTTGCCACATGCCCACCAGAAGCTGCGCTGCCGCGGCACCCGCCTGCCCACGACCACCCACGCTTTAATAGTTTGGCTCTCCGAGGTCAGGCAGCCCAATCCGTGAAAGTGCTGAGCTGTTTCTTGGCTACCGTCCCTGCTGAAGCACCAGATTCTGGATTTCAACTTCATTGTCCGGTCTGGGACAAAGATTTCATCTTTGCATCGATTCTCCAAGCCCCCGGCTGGGCTGAAACCTGTTGGACAGATGAGGAGAACCGAGGCTGGGAAAGCAGTAACACAAGCTGCTTTGTCTGTCTGTCTGTCTGTCTGTTAAACCCAAATCAGACCTCAGACTACTCAGCCCTCACCTGGGCTCCTGTGTCCAGTTCTGGGCACCAAGATTTGAGAAAGATGCAGGCGAATTAGGAAGGGTCCAGAGGAGGGCGACAAAAATGATCCGGGGTTTGCAAACGCCGCCCTGTGAGGAGAGACTGAGAGAACCGGGCATGCTCAGCCTTGAGAAGAGAAGATGAGGGGGGACACGGCATCCCCCTATAAGGACCTCAAAGGCTGTCACAAAGAGGAAGGCCAAGATCTCTTCTTGCTAATGCCAGAGTGCAGGACACAGATTAATTAAAGCTGCAACTATCCAGAGATCAGGAAAAGCTTCCTCACTGGCAGAGCGATACAGCAGTGGGACCGGCTGCCTGGAGAGGTGGGGGGCTCTCCCACACTGGAGACATTCAAGGAGAAACTGGACAGCCCTCTGAGTGGGATGGTGTGACGTGGTGTCCTGCATCAGCAGGGGGTGGACTAGATGGCCTCACCGCCCCTTCCACCTCTGCTCTTCTCCGATCCTATGAAATCCTCTTGAAGCTAAAGAGCCTTGGAGATGCGCAACCCACCTGCAGCCCCACCCGTCGACCCCCGTATCTTCCTGCCACCCCCGTGCCAAAGGCATTGCCGGCCATGCCCTGAGGAACGCCCACTGAATTTATTTTTCTAAGTAGTGCCCTGGCAGCTGTGCTCCTGCCGGAGTCCAGCTTCCTTCCAGACAAGCCGCGACATTTGAGCTGAGACGACAGAAAGCAATCGCACCGGCAGAACTTCTCTTCTTCTTGTAAGCGAATGGCGGAACCACGACCGCCCTCGCTTCAGTGCCCCACTGCCCAATTCCCAAAGCGCACACAGCCCCGTAATGGGGGGGGGGGCAACCTTAGGAGCCCAGAGGGCCATGTCCTGCCCACCCCCCCTTACGGGCTGCACTCTCCCTCATGTGCGCCCTTAACAAAATAGCCTCGTCAGCTATCACTACAGAGCACCCAAAAAGTCAGAAGCAGTTTGCAAACAATGCATCTTGATTCTTTCTGCCCCGCAAAAAAAATCTATTTTTAACAACTTTGGGAAACAGTAAGGTTTGCAGGGGAGGGATGGCAGGGACCTCTTATGGAATGCATTATGCCCTATATCATTTAGGAAATGGTCCAGGCTGCCCTTCCGCCTGTCTTGCTTCTACCCACAGACCTTCCTTCTGTGGAGACCCAGGACCTGGCTTCTCGACGTGCTATTCCCCTTCTCAAAATACACCTTCACCACGAAACCTTTGGCCCAGCCCTCATTTCTGATGCCCTACGGTGACCGTCCATGTACAGGGCCTCATGCCCCCCTCGTGCCCGCCTCCCCGTTTCTGTGCAAAACACACCTGCAGTGATGACATTATTCCCTTGCGTTGTCTTCGCTTCAGCCCTACCTCCCAAACGTGGCCCTTCGCTTGTCCATCTTTTAGATTCCTGCACCTCTCCTGTTTGCGAGAAATCTCAATCTCTCTCTCTCTCTCTCTCTCTCTCTCTCTCTCTCTCTCTCTCACTCACACACACACACACACACACACACACACACACAGCCTTCTCCAAGAAAAATGGCACCCACAAGTCTTGCACCGAGCGTCACTAGTGACCAAAGGAGAGCCTAAAAATGGCTGCTGGGCAGGGCAGGAGGCACCTCTGCGCTGAAAGGAACTCGTGATTCTTCCCTCACATCTAGGCTTGCCTTGGTGGGATCCCATAATACTCGACCAAACCCCCCTCACTTTGACCACCTTTGGACAGCGGAAAACACTCAGAACTGGCTACTCTGGTGAACCTGCCTGCAGCCAGAGAAAGTTCTGCACTGCAATCCAGATCCAAGACTCTGCAGGGAGCTCCCTTCAAGCCGTGGCAGCAAAAGCGAAGCTGGCGGGAGCTGCCCCGACGGGGCTTGTTCGAGTCTCTTCCACGTGCTTCTGAACCTTCTCGGGCAGTTTCTCCCCTGCATTGTCAACACACAACGTTATCTAAGCCAGTGATGACTGGACACCGTGAAATTTAAAATTGTCATCTCACCTTAATCTGACCCAAAGCTTTTACAGTATTAATAAATTGGGGTGGGGGAACCTCTAACTCCGAACCCCTGGATGAGCCTCGTCTCATTAGGGCTTTGAAAAGGCCCCCTTGATTTCTTTCCTTAAGTCTCATTGTGACACAAGGCAGCGACGGAGGGTACAGCTGGGGAGAAAAGGGTCACCCCTTGTCTCTGCACTGCAGCCCCACCAGCTGCATGCAGGTAAAGCCACCTCTACCGGGAGGCAACGGCCAGCAGGCTACCCTGAGGAGGGGGTACAGTTCCTTCTCCTAAAATAAGAGCCCCGAGCAGAAGTGGGGGGACCAATTCTGTGAGCCTAGGAAGAAACACGAGTGCCTCATCAGTAGTTTTCATTCCTCCTTACCACCGGGATATCACCTGTGGAGGGGATGCTTCACAAGAAGTTTGGAGAACCCAGGTGCGAGTTCTTAGACGTTCTTCCGCAGTACCGCTTCTCAGAAACAGCCTCTCCTTGCTGCAGGTCTCTGGCCTCCTAGGTTCCTATTACCTGCTCACGGAAGGCGACTTCGATCGTTACCTGAAGATACCCAGCAAACAGCAGCATGTACCTTTTCCCCTCAGAACGGGAGACAGAGAAAGATCTCTCTCTCATACTAACCTACGTTCGACTGTCGTGGGCTTCTGTCAGTTTCTTTCCAAGCTTCACAGAACTCTTCCAGAGATTTTTCAACGCCTACAGAAGGACTTGCCTGAGTTGTACTGAGAAGAACTTGCAACGCTCGCTCACACTCCTACATGCAAACTTCACAGAAAACAGGCAACGCTTACTTTAACTTTTCTATTTTTTATCTCCCTGCTAGCAGACAGTGGCCGCTGTTGATGGAGCCAGGCTTGAGGTAGAGCCAAAATGTTGCACCCTGCGGAAGTGGGGGATCCCTCAAGGCCCAAGCAGATCCACTCAAGCCCAGCCCAGCAAGATCAACGGCTCACATTTTGCTGTAAAGATGAACACGCATCTGAGGAATTGCTTGGCAGAGTCCCTTTGCCGGCAACGCCCACGAGGTTTCTTCCTACCGCCACCACGAACAGCAGTGGCCTAATCTAATCTTTACACTCCGCGGCTGGCTACACGGTCCGATCGCTCGCTTCGTGCAACACACGTCCAGTGTAGTCTTCTCTCCTCAGCGCCTCACTCCTGATTTGTCAAAGCCACAAGCAACTGCCTGGAAGGGAGATAAGCCCGCTCACAGGCAAGGGAAGCAGCCAGGTCCTAAGGAGCCTGCAGGCCTGAGGACAACGGTTTTCCCCACCAAACTCCATGAAAATTAACAGTAGGAATTCATGCAAAGAAATGGGAACACACAGGAAGGAAAGAGAGTGAGCTGTGTTAAAGTAGTCCCTTTCTCTGCTCTCTGGCCTACCAGGGAAGACCCAACGCCCGGCACAAGCCGCTTCTGATGCTCCCGGGATCCCAGCTTCTCTCCTCTCTTCCACACTGTCAGCTTGTGTGAATGCTCAGAACGCGACAAGCAGGGCAGTGCCTTGACCAGCTTCCTGGGCTTGTTTGGCTTGAAGGAAGGAAGGAAATAAAAGCAAAGGCTCCGGAGAGGGTTTTGCTCAGTCACGGTCATGCAGCACCTCTCATGCACGCCGCTTCTACCACTGGGGCATTTGGTCGAGACGGGAAAGGGAGGTTTGAGAATGGTTCCCCCCACATGAAAGAAGCAAGCAAACACTGCAGGCGGACCTTTTTCCACGCAGCCACTCGTTGCTCCCGGGCACAAGGGCTCCCTCACCTTCTTGCCTGCACCACCCGGACCGGATCCCCAGCCAGCAACCTGGGCCTACTGCCTCCAGCACCGCCGTTCATCCCACCCACCCAAACAGCGAGACCGCCAGCATCCAACCTGCAGGCGACGCCTTGAGAGGAACTCCTGAAAACGTAAATATGAACATCTATCTCCAAACAGACAATATGGATTTCTCTCTGGGCATATCGACACACCTGTGCACACAGAGGGAGGGGAGGTATACATAACGCCCCGTTCGTGCAGGCACAGGGCGCGATTCCACGTCCAGTTGCGCAATAGCAGCACTTGGGCGAAGCACATGCTCGCAGGCCCCGGGGCAGCGGTCGGCCGGCCAGCCGTGCAAGTGGGCTCGTCCGGGCACCTCTCCAGCCACGCGTTCAAAGATGGAGACACGCACCCGCGTCCCCGCACCCATGCCACGCTACGCCTTCTCCCCGCACGCACTCTCCCCCCCCCTCTGCACATGCCCCCGAAAATCGTGCACCGCACGCAGCCCGCTCTCCCGGGGCGGCCTGCGCTGCGCCCGCCCGCAGCTGCACGCCGGCAGCCGTGCACCGGAGGGGCGGCGGGGCCCCCGCCATGCGGCTCCGCGGGAGGACCCGGGCCGCGCTCCTCGCCACGGCGAGCCCCCTCGCACACGCCTGGGCGGCCCCCCCCCCGCGCCCGCCGCTGCCTGGCTGCCTGGCATGCGTCCGTGCGCCCCCCCAGGGGGACACGTTCCCGGAGGCGCCCCCCGCCCCGCCCGCCCCGCCGCGCCCCCCGCCGCCCGGCCGGAGCCGCCCCCTCCCTCCCTTCCCGCACTCACTTAACACGGGACCCCATGGTCTCCGAGGGGGCCGCATGGGCCCGGGGGCGGCGGCGGCGGCGGGGCTGCACTGGGCGGGGCCGCACTTCCGGGCGGCGGCGGCGGGGGGGTGGTCACTCCATCCCGGCCAGGCGCGCGACAGGCTCCGGCAGCGCGACCGACGGACGCGGCGGGCGGCGGCGGGCCGGAAGCGGGCGCGCGGGGCGCGGCGGGAAGTGTAGTCTCGCCGACCGGAAACCGCGCTCGCCGCCGCCGCCGCCGCGCGCGCAGGCGGCTCCGTCGCCCGGGCAACGCGGGCCGCAGCCCCGCCGCCGCCCGGCCTTTCCCTCCGAGCATGTGCAGAGTGCCCGCTGCGGCGGGGCCGGGCTGGACGGACCTTTCATTTCGGCGCCAGGCCAAAACCTTGCTATTTCCCCATTATGTTAAGTGTTCGTCGCGTTTTAAGATGGATTCTATTTATTATTTTTTCCTTCCCCACAGTCGCATTCCCTCTTTTTCCTCGCTTTTCTTTTTTCTTTATTTATTTATTCAGGAAACTTCTATGCCGCCCCATTCGCCGAAGCCTCGGGGCGGCTCACAAACATAATGTTTATGTTTATGATGTTCTGTTTCATATTGTTTTAATAATTGTGGTTTTATTACTGCATCACTGTAATTTTATATTATGTAAGCCATCCTGAGCACTTGTTGGAAGGATGGGATATAAATGTTTGCAACTATAATAAATTACTATTATTTCTGGATGCTGTGTGTTACTTGTATTGTATTGTATTGTATTACCACCCTGAGACACTGTGAAGGGCGGTAATACAAAATAATATTGTATTATAGTAATATGTGATACGCTCGAAACACTTTAAATTATATATATATATAAAGGCCTGGGCAGCTATTTTGTTTCCATTTCCACAAATACACCCCTTTGCATGCAGCCTTGGAACTGTAAGTCTCAATCTCAGTCTAAAGTGGCTAATGCATTGATTGATCGATTATGGTTTGCTTTCCAGGGGAAGAGCAGCAGGCCTCTGGGCACACGCAGAGTGCATTCCCTTGGTGTGGGGCAATGGCTGCAGCACAGGATGCCTTCCCCCTTTGGAGCAGGGTCGGTTTCTGCGTGTATTTTTGTTTCGGCAAAAGGAGTATTTTTGTTCCGGCAATAAATGAACAAATAAACATGCATGTCTCACTTAAAATTTTAAAAACAGCAGACAGCCTGGCTGGAGGATTCAGAAAAAGAAAGACTGACAGCCGAACAGGGAGTTCACTTTACTGATACGTGGATCCGTCATTCAGACGGGGAGGCGGGTGGGGGGCTGAAATTATCTGCCTGCAAGGCCCTTTTTATTTTGCATGTGTCTTTGTGCTCTGCTTTTGCCTCCGACACCCAAGAATAACAGTTGTATTATTAAATCTTGGTGGGGGGAAGATCTTTTCCTGTGCTGGAAATACCATCTGCCTCTCTCGAAGGATGGCTTGCCCAGATCTTCGTCTCCCTGAATGGGGAGTACCCCGACATCTCGACTATTCTGCACGCAGCCACTCTGCCTCATTGCAAACAACGGCTTCCAGAATGTCTCGGTTTCCGGAAACACGGAACTGCTCAGTTCGACCGTCTGGTGATTTCTCCCGGCGGCGACTGAAGGGTCTGGTATCTGCACAGCCCGCCGAGGCGAGTTCACACGCTACAGGAGAACAGTTTCCACAAAGGATGTCAAATGCTCTCGTCTCCTTTTGTTCCTTTGTCCAAGCTCCCAGCAAACGGAGGGGCTAAGCCCCAGAGCGCAAATTATTAACTATTTTTTTACATCTGTATGCCACCCAATTGTGCTGCAGCACCTCTGGCTGACTCACAATTACAAGAGAAAAACACAGTCGAACCCAACAACAACACACTAAAAATAAAATAACGATGTACTGCGAGCAGAAATGCAAAACAAAGGTCATATGGCATTCGTTATTAAAATGTTTGTTTTTAAAGGAAGGTTTTCGCCTGGTGCCGAAAGGAGAGTAAGGAAGGCAGCAGGCAAATCTTGGAGAGAGCATTCCGGATACGGGGGGCATATTTTTAACTAGCCCGTTGAAACCCAGACTGTCCATCAGACACCGCTGCTCGCCGCTGTCATTCTTTTTGTTCCCAGAGGCTGCATCTCGGAGCATCGGGAGCGGCAGCCTGGGCCCATTCCGCCCAGGTGCCCCATAATTATGCCAGCCGTCCCCAATCAGGTGCCCTCCAGATGACTATGCCGGCTGAGAATGATGGGAACTGTGGTCCAGTACATCTAGAGGATTATGAAACTCGTTTCTCTGTGAGGTGTGCTTGGTGCCACTTCATTCATTCCCGCACCAGGCCAAAACCTTTTTATTTACCCAGTTGCTTCATTGTAAATCGGTGATTTAATTTTTATATCAAGTACTGGCACTGAATAATTTTTAACGGTGGTATTGTGATTATATATGTAAACCATCTTGGGCTTTTTTAAATGAAGGATGGTATATATAATTTTTAAATAAATAAATGGTAGAGGCTGGAGAAGGTGAATCCAATGTGCTGATTGGTTTAGGAGTGGGCAGAGGGGAGACAGCAAACCAAGCAGCCACGGAACGAGAGGCGAGGTCGTCTTACGGACCAGCAACCCGTTGAAGAAGAGAGAGCAGAGAATGGGAATAGATGGTCTTTCCCCTGCGCGAGGTGTTGTGAACAGTGGGGTCCTACAGAGTCCTGTTAGCAGGACCAATGCTTTTCAACCCATCCATAAATGATCTGGAATTAGGAGGGTTCAGTGATGAGGCCACATTTGCTGCTGACGCCAATTTTTTTGGGTGAGTGAAACCCACAGGGATGGCCCGGACCTCCAAGAGACTCTTTCCCAACTGGGAGAAGAGGAATCGAAATGGCAAAGTGGAGGTGCAGAGCAGAGGGAAAGTGCCAAGCCCCCCCCCCCCCCCGTGGTTATACGGGGGGAGTCACTTCCAGCAGATGGGGCCTGGCTCCCTCCTTGGACGGCTTGGAGGAGGCCATCCTTGGCCACCAGCCGAGTGCCGAGGAGGTGGCTTTCTCGGGGGCGGCTGGTTGGACGCGGGGGAACCGCGCGCGGGACCGCCGGCTCCGACCCAGCATGGCTCTCCTGAGACTCCTCTGCTCCCGAGAGCATCTCGGATGGAGAAGCCCTTGAGCTGCGGGTGCCCGAGCGAAGTCATTCAGCGCCAGACAAAAGGAGGCACCGGGGGCGGAAAAGTACAATACGAGCATTAGCGCAAGGAGAGAAGCTTTGAGATGCCCTCCCGGGAGGCCTCGCTAGACGCCCAGGGACCCAGCCAGGTTTGGGCTTAGCTGCCTGTCCAAGCATCCTCCTTTGGCAAGGAGGCGGGAGGAACAGAGTGAAAAGAGGGGGACAGGATGAGACAAACGAAAGCGTCCCCACAGCTCTAAACTCTCCAAATACGTTCTTTTCCAGAACGGGAGGGGAGGCTGAATGCTTGAAGGCCCTGTTTGGAATATATGGGCCCCCACTGGGGAGTTGCCCGTGTCCTGTGAAACCCACAAGGGTGTTTGTGTGCAAACGAAGCAGGCGATGGCCACGTTCAGACGTCGCAAGGAGCAACCGCACGTGGCAAACGGTTCGCTGTTTTTACCATGGTCTATCCGACCGCGAAGCAAGAGACCTCTGCTTTAGTATGGCTTCCACCCTCCCTGCTGAGTCCTCCTGCGGTTGGCATGCATCCCATCAGCCCCGTGCCTGAAATTCAATCCCAAGGTGCATCTCTCCTTGCCCATGTCACCTGCCTCTTCCTCGCTGGCCCACACATAGAGGCTGGATGCCTGGAGCAACCCCTGCCGTTGCCTCTCTTTCCAGAGCACTCCGTGACACATGGAAACCATGATCCTGGGTTCAGACAATCATGGTGGTGCAGAGAAACCAAAGAACAGCCATTGCTTCTTAGCATGGCTGTAAAAAAACAGACCTTACCCTTTCTCACTCTCTTTCTCTCTCCCTCTTACCTTGCTCTCCCGTCCTTCCTTCCTTCCTTCCTTCCTTCCTTCCTTCCTTCCTTCCTTCCTTCCTTCCTTCTTTTCTTCTCTGGCCAAATGCATCACCTTCCTCCCAGGCTCCATATCCGGCATACATCCTGGGAGATTTCATAAACCCTTCCACCCTTCCCATGCAATGCCTCGGTCCCCCACTCAAGGGGCTTCATTCATCATTCAGCTAAACAGAAAATGGCCAACCCTGGATGGGGTTCACACGGCCTCCTGCCCTGCCGCCATCACCTCCCTTCCCCGAGCGACGGGGGCTGCATTCTACGAGGATTCTCCTTCCATCGCTAACAAGCCTCGGGATAAGCGCTATAATATATTTCCCTTGAAGCGTTCGCAGCACCGTACACCGTGTGACCTTTTTCTGCCCCGTTCACAAAGGAATAAGAAATAACCCATTCACACGTCTCAGGCCTATGATTATACTGATCACTATAACTCAGGTCCGTAAAACCCCCGTAGCCAAGCGGGGCGCTCCCCCAGAAGAAGGAGCGCGAGAGGATTGACCTGAAATGAACCCTCCGCTTTATGGCAGAAGAAAATTTAAATATGGGGGAACATAGCCAAGGGTCGGTGCCTCTCTGCAGACCACTTCTGCCTGTCTGCAGAGCCCTTTATGATTAACGGCACCGTCTGATTTATCCGCACGCGGAGACCACAAACAGCCTCCCCTCGCCCGTCTCTTCTGCACTCTAAATGTTTACTAACTTTCCAGTGATGGAATGCATGGCTCTTCCCCCACCGCCATATTTCTTCTCCTTTTGGAGTTGGCATCATCATTTGCTTAAAAATATTACAGCGATGCTCAGCTTCCCTAAATCAGCTCGGGGAGCCGATCCCCAATAAATCAAGGTGGCGGAGACCGCCTAGAACAGCCGTGCATGGAGAATGGGAAGCGAGGAAGGAGCCGATCGGCCTCTTTCCCTCAAGGAGTCCAGGGTCGACCTGCGGTGCCATCTTTAAGATTTAAGGGTATGCGAATACGGCCCACGCTGCCATGATCAGTGGTGGGATGGCTGTTTG